TTCTGTGGTGTCTACCGGGCAGTTGGTCGTCGTCGGGCCGATAGGTAAGGGTGGATGCTAGGTTGTGACTGGGTGGTGTTGTGGTGGCTGAATTAATTTGGATTGTGGGGAGAGCTCCATCGCGACTGTGGTTTCTAACAGGTTTCAAATACCTAACAAGTTAATCAATTACAGCAAAAACATGCTTTTGCTGAATCTTCTTAATACTGTTATGGACTATCTGATCTTCTATACCGAACATGCAACTAATGTATTACAGAAGCTAAACCTCATGTGTACTTTTAGACAGTATTGAGTACAAAGCAAGGTATTTCATGAAACTGGTACAGAAAGGATAGCATTTTGTCCTCAATCAATGCCCAGATTCTTAGAAAAAGTATTAGTTTTTCCACTGGGATTACTGCTATGACATCCAAGTGGAGAATGCACCTGTCCTTGTGTTTCAGCGCTCATATTCGTGTTCATTTCAATTATCATAATGGCCATTTCCATTATGTGATGAGTATAGTTGACACGATTCGGCAGGCTATGATTCCTTACCATTTGCATCATTCTTATCCCTTCAGATCTATCGTACTCTTCAGTGTATTTCATATCTACATTGTAGCCATTTATCATGAAGTCTGAGAAGTTCTTGTAGCCATGGTCGTATGGATTTCTGAATCGAACCCTTGGGCTTCGAAGGTAACTACACCGCAATGCATTTGCCATTTCGTTTGTTGTAATATTGCGAGAGATCTGCAGGAAAAAGAAAAATGAGGGAATTGGTTCAAACCTAAATAGAACAAACTGTCTATATCATGAGAAGTAACTTGGAATCACGATTGATGAATTTGGCTTAAGCAGCTCGAGAATGGCAAGATTAGCTGGGATAAAACTACAATGCCATTTGGGAAATTGATACTTGACTGTGCTTCAAGCTCATGTTTGGTCACACTATATTGGACATGAATAGACAGCGTAGTGGCTAAATTTGAACTTTTTTCTTCCTTACTACTGCCTAGTATGATCAACCTTACCAAATGTGCCCCGAGAGTTTGTCCATGTCTATGAATAACCTCGTCGGAACTGATATGGAATTTAGGGAAGAGATGAAACGTGGGTATTTGATATATCTTGTCATCTTTACTCCCAAAGACAGTGGACAAGATTATTTGAGCCATGCCACACAAGCATCACAGTAATATTTGTCAAAAAAAAGGTGTTTTTCAAGAAAGATTACTTTTTGACACCAGAGATCAAAAGAAACAACTGCTATATGAAATTTAAAAATTTGCACAACTATGACAGATAATCTGATAGAAATCATATGATGCCCCACGAAACCAAGTTCGGATGCACTTATGGAAAGAGGATTTGAACACATGGCCTGATCATGGTCGTTTAAATCCTGCATGAGATATCTACCGAAAGAAGTTGTTAGGATTCTATCTGGAAAATATAGAATAGAATATGAATAAGTTGAACTTTGATTGAAGATGAAAAAGATTACAATAAAAGATAACAGATGCCTATGGGAGGCTGTGAGCCTGTGACCCTCAAACAAACTCCTCTTTCACTCTCTAAAATTGCCTGCCTATCCTTTACTGTCTACATCTACTTATAGACTTCCTGATTGATTTATTTCCCCACACTAGCTCTTGTAAGAGAATGCAGTTATTCCTTCATTTCAGCTGATTCTCCATCCTTCTTGATTCTTCTAGAATAGGTTAAATGAATGGGAGGCCTAACAAAAGTCTTAATTTTCCGACTGGAAACTTGGTGTAAGGAGTGAATCACATGAAGGGGAGGTTACATGTGAGCTGGTAATCTCACCACAGACAGAAGAAATGAAGAATTGTGTAGGTATACCTCAGAGGCCTGTACAAGAGTTAAGACTGCCACATTGCAGAAGATGAAAATGTCTGCAAACAAGAAGCCATTGGAACACTCGAGACAAGAAAAAATGGTTACTAACTAATAAAGAAGCAGATATAAGAGCATACGGTGAAAAGGAAAGAATAAGAACACAGAACACTAAAAGAACTATATATTTAGGTTGACACTGAAAATATATAAAATAATCGCACACGTAAGAGTCGCTGATTCAGTAATCAGCATCGCCAATAATTCCATAATAAGAAACACAAAGAAATCCCACTTGTTTTTCTGTATCAGGTAATACAATCGGTCGGACCATGATGAAAATATACAGACCTATTGCATAGCATTCAGTAAAGCCAAAATCAATGCCACGTCCCAGAGTAAAACAATGACAAAAATTATATCAGAGACCCTACAAGATTGATCCATACTCATTTAATTCACTCTTTAATAACTAGTAATCCTGTAAAGATGTTCATCAACGAGACATTTATTCTCCATATATTCACTTAACTCTCAATATATTCATGCAAAGTTATATACCAAGAATGATGTAATCACACAAAAAAGGACTGTGCCCATAAGGACTCGTGCATGTGTGTGGGTGGTCATTATCCGATTCCATCCAGTTTAAATTAGAACAAACCAGTCCAAATTTGGTTAATTTTATCCAGAACTATGGACTATAAAGAAGTCCTAGATTAGGTGTGTGAGAATGATCATAATTATTTTTATCTACCAATAAAATTTTTAACTTTTATCAAAAAAGCTCTAAATTAAGAATTTTATAAATGTCAAAGGACTGAATCGGTCGGTTTTCATTTTGGCAAGAACAGTTTTTTTGTCTTTTGCTCTCTAAGTACCAGCCGGCTTGTTTTATCAGATTCCAGGGATTACTGGATATGCAAGGGAATTTAGGCACCATGAATAAAGACAAAGAATTTTTCCTTCATTTTTCGTCTAGGATCAGGACAAATACAATTTCCAAGCTTGTACTCGGGACATGTACAGTTTCCAAGATCATTACTCAGGTACATCCTAGATATCTACATAATATTTAAGTGAAAAAAAAATATGCGAGGAATTGGTAAGACACCTTGCCAACACAATTAGAAACCCAAGGATAATGATGATCAAATTGTTCAACACGGGCAATCACAGGTAGAACAATGCTTGGCACGAAGGGGACCGACAATCTGATAAAAGCACAAAACAAACTATTTTAGAGCAGAAGAACTAAAGGATCTAGATAGGACCCAGAGTTTCCGGTTTGCTTTTATATAGGTACGTAAAACAGCATCTGCAGAGGGAGTAAACAACACCTTGCAAGTTCGCAAAGCTGAGACCAATTCCCAGCCAGCAAAACAGGACTACTTATATCTATCCTCAGCAAATGTTCCTAATGACAAAAGAACAATGCGGAAATATTTGAAACATGTCACGAGTGTACAATATTGGATATGGCTTAGTTTGTTTTCTTATTTCACAAGTGTATGATTCTTATAAGCAGCAGTAAGATATTGCAATAATATGGAGTTCCAAAGATGCAAAAGGAACCATCGGAGTAGGAAATAAGAATTGCAATGTAAAGTCTGAATGTTATAACCAGAGTTATGGCGAATAATATTTGAACAATGAGGAACCAGACACTGGTTGCAGTTAAGCAAAAAATAGTTTATTGAATAGAATATACTGAAACAGCTAGCAACTTACATCATCTTTCATGCTTTCTGGATCATGTACGCTCAATTTGATGTACCCTGAATCCTTCCTATGAACAGAAGGGCCAAATACAATTTAGACTCAATGCTAAGTTCAAGCATTTGCAATATTTTAATAAATATGATTGCATGTAAGAATAAGCCAACAGGAGGTTAGCAAGGAATATGGCTCCTATATCATGAAGATCACACCTTTGTCTCAAACAAGTAGTAGGCCAATGAAAATAACATAATCAAGTTCATAAAACACGTGTACATGAAATCTTGCTGGAAAACAAGAAAGAAAGCTATTGGCTCAAATGTAGATCCACACTGTCAATTTTTAGATAGAAACAAACAAAGATATAGCTTCTGTTTGATTGAGATTTTTTGAAAATAGGTGAAATGTGGAATTAAAAAATTGTAGATCCCATAAAATGAGTTTGAAAAAAAATGAGTTTTAAGAAATGGGGGCCAAACGTGGGCTTATCACGTTGGATACTACGTCAATTGAGAAATATTATAAACATTAACGTCTTCGGGTAAAATGTGAGCAATTAGAGTCGTAACTTCCATATTAAAGATTGGAAGGTGATCAAACAGGCCAACTGAATTTTAAAAAAAAAATTATTACATGTGTTTGATTACATTTATTTTCCATGAAAAATATCAGTTTTCCACCCAAAATCCTATTTAGAGTGTTTGATTGCTATTTTTTTCCATAGAAAATATTTTCCAACTTTTGAAAATAAGCCTAATTTTCCTTGTTTTTAAGGAAAACATTTTCCTTGGATAGGGTGATTTTTATTTCCACAAAAGATGGAAAATATTTTCTTTTCTATATGATATTTTCCATGTCAATCAAATACACTCTAAAAAAAAAAAATAATAATAATAATCTCATAATATAGAAAGCAATTATTGCAGTTTGAGTTGGAAACATTTACTAGTCTGAGAATTCTAGTGCCTAAAAGCTAGCAGCGTAAAAATGAGGGAGAGCAAATAATGATTTATAGAAGAACTCAGTAGTGGGGCTTCACGTGGAATGGGGAACTCAAAAATGGCAACAAGGCAATGAAATGGGGAAAAGAAAATTTTGACAAAGGAATATAAACCAAACTAATATCATAAAGAAAACATGCGCAAGACTTTCAACTGTTCAGGCGTCATCACATAACATTATTAATTAGAAAGATCAATACCCTCCAGCATGATACCGAGGAAAACAATTTAAAATATGTTTTTTTTTTAAGTTTTAAATTGAGTAACTGGCGAACAAAAGGAAATCACTAAATTTCTAGAGAATCAAAAATCCATCTTTGACAATGTTATTTGAGAGAACATTACAAATATATCCAACCGGAAACGCCATTTATTCACAAGGAGAAAGCATAACAAACAAACAGTGCCGGAAAAAGCTTCCGGATCTACGTGTTAAATAAAAGTAAATAAATTTCTCTAACATATAGAAATCAAGAAAAAAATTAAGAGTAATCAACACATACATTTTTAAGATATCCAAATTCTGGCACTAAAGACGCGTCGTAAGAAATTCAGTTGTATTGGATCATCAACAAGTAAAAGCTTCCAGATCTAGAACAAAAGAGGAAAGTAAAAATCTAAGAACATCATTCTCAAATAAAGCCCCACCAAGACTAACATTTGGTTTCACGTGTAACTCTTATTGGATACATCCAATCAAATTTGGACATAAATATTTTTAATATATAATTAATACAATTTAATAGCAAATTTATTATTTAATTAATAGACAATTAAATTAAATAATAAAATTCGTAGATTCAAATTTTCGTAATTTATTAATCACAAGAAATTGTGATTGCGGGATACAAATTATATATGATTGAATTTTAAATCGTCTGTGATCGTAAGTAATAACGAGATACGAATATCGTTATTACGGATAGCCTATCATGTGTGACATTTCTTACTTGTGAAGTAACTGATCTCACCAGCTAAAGTGTGGTGACACTTGAATGAACACGTGGATATTTTGTTATAGAACAAAACATTGGAAACCTATCTAGAAATTCCACATGGATAACTATCTGAGTGTCAATGGTTAATATCTAACGTTCGATAGTGGGATTCATCCTTTAACTTGAGGTCGTCATAGTACCTTATATGAGAACAGTCTTGCTTTGATGGTGTTGGATGTTACTCTGCCAAGGGAGGCTAATACAGAATCGTTCGGGTATATCAAGAATCTTATGAAAATTGTGAATGACTAATAGATGATTCGTCACTCTTAGATAGTAAGGAATTATAATCTGCATTTCATTCAATCAAGTCAATAATGAAATCCTTGGCTAAGGTGTACTTATAAATCGAAAATGAGTTTTCTACTTATATTGACTTAATAGTGGAGTGAAAGATATGATTAATAATCGAGATTGACACACTTCTATATCTTGTAATTGATCGAATCATATTGATGAAGAGATTATAGTTTCACGGCAAACAAACGCATTTAGTTTTGTCATACCACGTGACATTTCCCGTCACACGTATTGTCCTGACACATTGTTAGATGTCAATTTGGGACAGGGAGTGTGAATTAGTGATAAATTAAAATAATATTTTAATTTAT